TTTTAATTATTTTAAATATAATATTAATTTTTTTTTTTTAACTTTGTTAATATTTTTTAGCTACTGTTAACAAAGAATAGCTTAATGATGACACGCAATCCATGTCGAAACGTATATTATGAACAAATATTTGTATTTATTTGTTTTCTTTTATTTCGACGATTGGCTGAATATCGTTGTTCATATACAATTCATGTCATGCATAGTAGTAGTACAACGTACAATAATGTTTTAATCGCATTGACACGGTGCCTTATTTAGAAGGAACAGAAGAAACCAGAAACGAATACAAATACACAAATACAAATGTACAATTCATTCGAGTACCAGAGCAAGTATGTAACACGAATATCACATCACTGCAAAGCAAAGTATTATTACATCGGTAAGTGGATATTTCCTTTGTGGATGGATTCTTAAGTGTCTCTTCTCTCCTCGGCATGGTCATCAAATTTAGAACTTCAGAACGGCAGAAAGAGGTCAAATCGCAGACAGACGGACAAACAGACGGACAGCCAGACATAAACGCCACACGAATAATGAAATTAGTGGTATATGGCATCGTGCCTTAAGGCAAATTGCTGAAACTTCCCGCACCGTAATGAAATATTCGAGAAATTTTAAACGTTTTCGAATATATTATTACAAATACTGTAACTTTCATTATTTTTGCTATCTTATTATATCTGTGAGCAAATCAAATGTAAATCATAAATAAATCAATTTATCACCAGAACATTAACAATCGTCATTTCATTTCGAATTCAATTTCAAAAAAAAAAATAGTTGCCTAATTTACACAAAATTAAAAAAGTGCTCCCGTATAGTCACAGTCTAAACGCATCGGCAAATAATTCTGTGCGACATTGTCACTTATACCGTGCTTAGCTTGGCGGCATTTTCGCATTTTTCAATAGTTTTTCACCAAATTGGAAAAGTGCTTCATTGCATAAACAGTCTAAACGCACTTGGGTAAACATTTGTACCAGAGTGGCGCTTAGACTGTGCTTAGCCTGGGTAATTTTTTGAATTTTCAACTTCCCGCAGGGAAAGTTATAGTAGTCGCAAAAAAATCGAAAATGAAAATTTTTATATATCTTTACGTTTCAAAGGTTTCTGAATATTTTGGCATACCTTAGAAAAAATGGATGTATGCGTGTGTGTATGTATGTGTGTGTGTGTATGTGTGTACGCGCGTGTGTGTGTGTGCGGATACAAATTTCTGTCGACGCTTTCGGGAACACTGATCAACCGATTTGAATAATTCAAAAAACATTCGATTGGTATTGATAAAGAGACGTGCTGATTAGTTTTTGGCGAAGGTAAGTCTAGCCGTGCCGAAGATATGGGGCAAAAAGTGCCGAAAACGGTAACTCAGTTTTTAAGAGAACGGAGCGTCCGATTTGAATAATTCAAAAAACATTTTATTTGCACAAGATGAAGAACTGATCAAATTTTAATGAAGGCAGGTCTAGCGGTTTCGGAGATCTAGTGAAAAAAGTGAAAAAGAATGCCATTTGGCGGTCAAAAATGATTATTAGACATATGCACATCAAATTATCAGATATTTTATAGAGATTTTAACAATAAGTATATTTTTTTTTACATTCCTATGGGTTCCGTACCAAAGTTTATCCGTTAGACGGCGACGCGGCGCTTACGCGCTTCGATGTTTCACCACTATGTAGTTAAATCAGTACGACTGCTTTTTAAAAAAGTTCAGAATTTCCAAAATATTTCAACATAAATGTTTTAAGATAGAATGATTTAATATGGTTCAGAATTCTATTAAAAGTTTCAAATCATTGATCAACTTTTATTGATTATTATTGATCATTTTTAATTACTCGAATTTTAAATTGCGGTACGGAAAGTTCCAGCAATTTGCCTTAAGGCACGATGCCTTAATTGCCTTAAGACAGAATTTCACTTACAGCTAGTTAATAAAATTACAAAAATATTTTATGAAAAATATAAAAAGATGTGATAATTTTTTATCCTCAAAAGCAATTGTTTTGTCAATACAAGCAGAAAGTTTTTAAGATCATTCAAATCGGACGCTTAGTTCACTCAAAAACTGCAATTTTTTGCACATTTAGCTCTGTATCTCCGTAACGGCTGGACCTGCCTTTGCCAAAAACTAATCAGCACATCTCCCTATCAATAGGGATCGAATGTTTTTTTAACTATTCAAATCGGTTGATCTGTGCGCCCGAAAATGTGGACGAAAAAATACAAAACACACACACACATCCATTTAGTTTCGAGGTATGCCCCTTAAAAATGTTCAGAAACCTTCAAAACGTCGAGAAATGCAAAAATTTTCATTTTCGATTTTTGGCCCATTACTAAAACTACCCTACGGGAAGTTGAATATAGTTATCGATGAATATTATACAGGGTACTAATAGGTTGGTCTATTCTCGGATAACATCATGTTAAGTTTTCGTAACATGTTTCAATTAAGAGTACTTTGGTATTCTCGGTAATGCATCATTTTATTATCACAAACCATGTTTTCTTGCTTCTCAATTAATAAATTGGTAACGTCAAAACTGTCAAAAAGCTACAACTATATACGAAACTTTATTTAAATCTTTGGTGCTGTCAGCTGATAAAAACTAACCTCCAAATATTAAAATAACATCATGTTATGCGCCGACACTCATACCTATTTACCGTCACATTTATGCCTCTATGTGCATACTATTACATTTATTACTCTATGGACTCTACATTTCTCGAGTTCCACTATACATTCTATGGACTCTATATTTCCGGCTGGACGGAGGACCTCTACAATTATCACAAGGGCACACTCTCTCTCTGGACTCCAAAAGGAACACATAACCTTATAATAATCTAATGAAGTTCTGTATAATAATATCTATATTCTGTAATAAATTTATAAAACTTGTGTTGTGTTTTAAAATACCAAAATTACCTCCATCGCTGAAGACAAAATAATTAACAATTATTTTGACTTCACGCATATCTTATTTAAAAAATGCATCTGAAACAAGTAACCGAGAATATCTATTACACTTATAGTAACATTTCGAATGTCGGAGTAAATAGAGTAAGATCTAGAAAGATCTAGCAAGATCTTAAGATCTTACGATCTGCTAGTGTAAATTCACGATCGTTTCGTATTTGCCAAAGGAAGATGTTGAAGAAGAATTTCTGGTTTATCTTCATCTCACACATAGACACATATAAACACGGTTGCATTCATTGTACCGTTCAACAGTTAAACCTTATTGGCATTCGCGTAACACAAAAACACTCATACGCACAAAATACAATACGACTGTTTGTTTTCGCTAATGCAATTGACACTCGAATGAGTTACAAACATACACCATACATGTATATATATATATCTAAAAACATAACTATCTACTTGTAAGTGACATTTTGCCTTAAAGCCAGTTGCATGAACATCCAGATAAAAAATTGAGATTAAACTATTTATATAATTTTTTTTAACTGTTCAATACGATTTGCAAATGATCTATTTTTCATACTACTATCTACGATTGTACTAATTGTAGTGCACATATACACGCTTAGAATATTCACGCAGTCCATTATTAAATTAAAATTTTAAATTTCCGAAATTGGTGCCGTCAATTTCGACAAAAGTTCATTTTGGTTCATAAGCACATACAATATTCAATTCTTAGATTGACTTGAAAAATCGAGAAAGATTAGCAAATCCAATTTTCTGATGTCAATAAACATCTCTTTCGTAAAGTTTGAAATATTAAAAAGGTCTTAGAAAAAAAAAAAAATTGTCAGAAATTCCAAAAGAAAGGTCGAAAGGTGAAAAAAATGATAAAATATTTTTAGAAATATGTCAAAATTTTAATAATTGGCAAGATTTAAAAAAATGACTGCAAATCCCAATAAAATCCCAGCAAAAAACTGTCAATATCAAAATAAAACTTCTAGGAATATCAAACAAAAAGATCTAGGAATATCAAAAAAACTGGCTAGGAACTTCAAAAAAATGTCTAGAAATTTCAAAAAAATATCTAAGAATATTAGAATGTTTAGAAATTTCAAAAGAATATCTAGGAATTCCAAAAAGTTTCAGGAATATAAATATATAAATATAAATAAAGGTTTAGAAATATAAAAAAATATAAAAAAATCTAGGAATATCAAATAAAAATCTAGGAATATCAAACAAAAAGATCTAGGAATATCAAAGAAAATATCTAGAAATATCAAAAAATATATAGAAACTTCAAAAAAAATGTCTAGAAATTTCAAAAAAAATATCTAGGAATGCTAATAATTCCAAAAAGTTTTAGGAATATAAAAAAAATCTAGAAATATAAAAAAAACATCTAGAAATATCAAAAAAAATCTAGGAATATCAAACAAAAAGATCTAGGAATATCAAAAAACTGTCTAAGAACTTAAAAAAAATGTCTAGAAATTAAAAAAAAAGTGGGCGACAGTTTCAATTTTTTTTAAATATATTGCAATATATTTAAAAAAGTTGAAAGATCAAACTATAACTATATTGCAATATCAAACAAAAAGATCTAGGTATATCAAAAAACTTCAAAAAAATATCAAAAAGAAATTTATCAAAAAAATGTCTAGAAATTTAAAAAAAAGTAGGCGGCAGTTTCAAGTTTTTTTTCAAAAAAAATAAAGAAAAAACTATATATTCCAAGCTCACACAATTCATAAGATCGAGCAGAAACTAATTTCTTTTTCGATCGAGGATCGTTAATTTTAAATCTTTCTAATACATTTAAGAATGAAAAATCAGCTGTGCCACGATGATAGCCGTTACTAGTTCGCGGAGAGATAACGTGTCGGCCTTAATTTCACTTCGAGGATTTTTATCTGACTTTGCACTTTTTTCTCCACTAGGAATAGACGAGATGTCTATTGGAAATAGAAACTTCAAATATTCTCAATTTAGTTTCTTTTAAAAATTGCGCCTACATTTCTTTATAATATAATTTTCTTCCACTGACCTCGTAGCTCCAAGTGCACGGCACCCCCCGCGAACCTCCGAACGCACCTTCCCAATTCGACGTCCTCGTGCGTGCTGTACATCTCGTTGAGGCATTCCCTGGCATGGGGCCCCACTCTGCGCAGAGTCTCTCTCGACATAAGGACGCCGGGGCCCCCCATGCAGAAGTTCTCGTCCGAGTTGAGAGCGAGGCGACCGAGCTCCGACTGGGTGCCTCGGCCGGCCTGACCTGGGGGTAATAGAAACATTTTTAGGTAATAGACAAATTTGTACAATTGTGTGTAAAGGTGCGTCCACACCTAACGAACGAACACGGACGAACATAAATGAACGTACCAGAACGAACGGCAACAGCATAGTGTGGACGCCACGATGATCACGAACGAACATAAACAAAACATGTCGAGCAATGTTCCGCAACTTGTCGGTACATCAAAGGGAATTGTTCGTTCATGTTTGAACTCGTACGTGCAGTGTGGACGCTACCACAATGTAGACAAACATTTTTCTTTTTCTATGTTATGTTGTGCACCCCTGGGCTAACAACAATTTATGTTGAGGCCGTCACCAACAGTTATGTTGCGTCCAACGATGTCAACAATTAAAATTTAGGTTCTTCTGCTGCTAAGCTTCACTGTGGAATATTTAATCAAACGTCTGAAGACTTTTATTAATTTTTATTTAATTCATTACTTGGTTACACTTAATACACAATTGATATTTTAGATAAAAGTGATGTGAACTGTTTGGCTTCTAGTCAAGAAATAAGCACCGTTTGGTAGTCCTCCGGCTGTTTATAATCTCCGATGGTGACGCAATTATCCTTCTAGAAGGTTCGCTTGTTTTACCGTTAGAAATGACTCAACTATTACTTGAGACGTAGTTGCGGTCACAGATCGGTACACGTGCATGCTTACAATGTTGCTTATCTCTAATACAATCTAATGAGCTGTGAGTCAGGCACTACGCTTTACTTGGTCGTAACGCACAGTTTGTGGTTTCAAAAGGAATTTTATCAACACTTGCAAGGTTACTGCAAGCTTACAATGTAACTATGAGCAATAACTAACTGCGTCGTTCATATTCTGGCCGTTATATAGTAATTTATAATATTATTTATAACTATTGTAAAGGGTGAATACCACAACAGGAAAAATGTGCAGTCTTGCATTAGTTTATGTTGTGTTTATTATAAGATATTGCTGTTATTGGCAAATTTTGTAAATTCGATGACTTTAAATAATTTTTCTCTTTCCCGCTACTTTGAATAATAAATCTGACGTTTCACGGTACATCCTCGAACAAAAAGATTCAAACTCTCACGGCTTTGAGGCGTTTGTTTGGAATTATTCGCGTTCGTTCGTGTTCCTGTTCGTTCTTCTTTGTATTTTCTTGTTCGACATGTTCGTTCGTGTTCGTTCGTTAGGTGTGGACGCACCTTAATGTTTACTAACATCATACTCCTCCTACTCCAAAGTAGCAAACCGAAAATTTGTATTTAAAATTATACATGTATATAATTAGTCCAGCATAAAAGATTCCATTAAAATGATTTATTGTTCTTATTGCAAAAGTGGAATAGCCTTTGTAATGTTTAACTCAGCCGTAAAATAAGACGACATGTAATGTTATTTTTAGAATTTATTACAGTTTCAGAATTATGGGGAAAAGTTATTGAACTATCGGATGTGAAATTTGACCAGAAACGTAGAATAAATATAGAGTCATCATAACGTCAAGAAATAATTCTATTTTTTTTCGGTCCAAATAAAGAAATCATATTTCCAACTAAAAAATTACATTTCCAACAAACAAATACATTTTTAATAAAAAAAATCAAATCGCAAAGGAAAAATTATATTTTTTTGGTCCAATAAAGAAATCAAATTTTCAACAAAAAAACTACATTTTCACAGAAGAAAATAACACATTTCCAACAAAGAAATGATATTTCTAGTAAAAAACACATTTCTAATAAAAAAATCATACCTTCAAGGAAAAATTCTAATTTTTTTCGATCCGATAAAAAAACACCTTTCCAGTGAAAAATCGCATTTCCAACCAAGTAAATACATTTCCGGTAAAAACAGAAAAAACACTTTCCAACAACGAAACAACACTTAGTAGAAAAAAAAACATAATTCCAATAAAGAAACCGCATTTCCAGTGAGAAAAACCTATTCTCAACAAAGAGAACACATGTACAGTGAAAAAACTCATTTCCAACAACAAAAACATATTTTAGTGAAAAAAACACACATTTTCAGCAAAGAAAACATTTGCAGTGAAAAACAAAGAAACCGCATTTCTAGCAAAAAAAAAAACAATTTACAACAAAGAAAACACATTTACAATGTGAAAACACTTCCTTCAAAAGCCACAATTTCAGTGAAAAAACACATATTTTCAGTGGAAGAACACACTTTCAGTAAAGAAAACACATTTCCAACATCAGTGAAAAAACACGCACTTTCAGTGGAAAAAACATTTCCAACAAAGAAACCGCATTTTCTGTGGAAAAAAACATATTTCCAACCAAGAAAATATATTTTCAGTGAAAAACGCACATTTTCTGTGGAAAAACACATTTTTAGTGGAAAAAATCATTTCCAACAAAGAAATCGCATTTTCAGTTTAAAAAAACACATTTTCAACAATAAAAACCGCATTTCCAGAGAAAAATATATATTCCCAACACAGAGAACACATTTTCAGCGAAAAAACACATTTCCAACAACGAAAATACATTTTCCATGAAAAAACAAACATTTTCAGTATAAAAAAACACTACCAAAAAGAAACTGCATTTTCAGAAGAGAAAAAACATATTTCGAACTAAGAAAATACATTTTCAGTAAAAAACACATATTTTCTGTAAAAAAAACACATTTTTAGTGGAAAAAAATAATTTCCAACAAAGAAATCGCATTTTTAGCGAAAAAACACATTTTCAACAAAAAAAAACTAGAAAAAATATATTCCCAACACAGATAAAAAACAGTAAAAAACACATCTTCAGTAAAAAAAAACACATTTTCAGCAAGGAAAACACCTTTACAGTGAAAAAACACATTTCTAACAGAGAAACCGCATTTCTAGTAAAAAAAAACATATTCCCTAGATCGAAAACACACCGTCAGTGAAAAAACACGCATTTTCAGTGGAACAAAACATTTCCAACAAAGAAACCGCATTTTCTGTGGAAGGAAAACATATTTCCAACCAAAAAGTACATTTTCAATAAAGAAACCATATTTCTAGTGAAAAAAACATACAATTTCAGTAAAAAAACACATATTTTCAGTGGACACTTTCAGTAAAGAAAACACATTTCCAACAAGAAATGCGCATTTCCAGTGAAAAAACACATTATGAACAAAGAGAACACATTTTCCGTGAAAAAACACATTTACAAAGGGAATGCATTTTCAATATAAAAATTTACATTTCCAACATCAGTGGAAACCGCATTTTCTGTGGAAGAAAAACATATTTCCAACCAAGAAAATACATTTTCAGTGAAAAACGCACATTTTCTGTGAAAAAACATTTTCAGTGGAAAAAATCATTTTGAACAAAGAAATCCTCATTTCCAGTGTAGAGTACTATATAAATATAAAAATGACTTAGAAATTTAGACTTAAAAATTTGTTAAAAATAAGATATCAGTACAGGATTTAAAGGAAAAAAACAAATGAAATAGATGTCTCTATGTTCAACCATCGTGTAAAATGATAAAAATTAGCATCTCGGATGACATTAAACTTGAAACCGACTGACACAAGACAAGATGATGATACAAATACAAGACTAGAGTCGAGTGTTTGTTATCGATATCTCCAATGTCAGTGACACTACTGATGCGTAAGGCAGAAATTATTTTATGCAACTGCAATAAAATAATGGAGCCATAAAATACGAAATTTATTGCTCCTGCTGCTGCAATCTGCGGAGATAAAGACAGGCCTTGATTTGAAGTTGACTGACACATCCAGTAGATAGACAACAAATTGAGAATAAATTACAGGTTTGTACCATGTTCATGAAATCTACAAATCAGGGTAACAAAGTTTTTGTAAAAAATATAAACTCCTTGCGTGTCAGAAATTTTTAATTTTCTATAATAATCACCCCTAAAAATCCTAACGGATCTGTGAGGGTTAATAAAGCACTTAGGAGATCTTTAGGAATATATAAGAATCCTTAGAGATCTGTAAGAATGTATAAAGAGATGTATATGGTAGCCCATTTAAAAATTGGAATTGGATAGCAACGTGCCTGTAGGCCACACCGTGCGGAATTCAAAGTTGCGATATATGGGAAAAAAACTAAGAATTTTGAGACCTTTCTAACGGTGTATAATACTTTATATGTTTTCTTTACAGAAATATCTAAGCCGTAAGATCACTAGATCACTAGGACCACTGGATGGGCCAATACAAATCTTGAGACATCCTCAGAAAACCTCAGAAATCCTCAGAAATCCTAAAAAAAAACTCAGTAATCTTAGAAAAAAAACCCTCAGATATCTTGAGAAACCGCTGAGCAACCCTCAAAAATCCCACGAAAACCTGACTCATATCAAGAATCCTCAAATATCTATAGGATTCGATGAGAATTCTAAGGTATCTATACAAATCGATAGAAATAATGTCAGAGATCCACAAAAAATGCTAGAAACATCCTCATAGATCCACAGAAATCGATAGAAATCCTCAAAAATCCGTAGGAAACCTATGAAGAAATTCATAGTAAATCAAACAAATCTTCAGAAACCCATAAAAATTCACAAGAATCGATAGAAATCCACAAGAATTCACGAAGATCGATATCAATTCACGTAAGTCCTCATAAATCCAGAGAAATCCTCACAATTCCACAAGAATTGATAGCGATTCTCAGAAATCGGTAGTAAACCATAAAAATCCCCAGAAATCCATGGAAATTCTAAAAAAAAACGACAAAAATCGATAGCAATCCATAGAAATCCTTAGGAATTGACAAGACATTGTCAGAAATTCTCAGAAATCCATAGAAATCATCAAAAATCAAAAGAAATCTATAGAAATCTTCAAAAACCTCAGACACATTCAGAAAACCACAGGCATCTCAAGAAATTTACAGAAATCCTCAGAAATCCGCAAGAATCAATAGTAATCCTCAAAAAACTATTAAAATCTTCAGAAGATCATAGCCATCCTTCAAAAGCTCGTAGAAATCTTCAGACAGACATCCTCAAGAAACCTTAGAAATCCTCAGGAAAACCCTCAGAAATCCTAAAAAGACCACCAGAAATCTTAAAAAAAAACGTCAGAAATCTTAAGAAAACTCCAAGGAATCCAAAGAAAACTTCCAGAAATCCAAAGAAAACTCCCAGGAATTCTGAGAAAACCTAATTAGTCCTCGGAAAACCTGACTCATTCTCAGAAAACTTGACTCAATCCATAAAATCAACAACAATCCATAAAAATCAACAAAAATCCACAGAAACCAACAGAAATCTATAGGAACTTTCAGAAACCTATATGAATCCTGAGACATCCTCAGGTATCTTAAGAAATCTATAGAAATCCTCAGAAAAACCCTAAAAAATCTTTAAAAAAACCTGATTCATCCTAGCAAAACCCTTCAAAATTCGGAGAAAACCTGACTCGTCCTCAGAAAGCCTGATTCATCCCCAGAAAACCCTCAAAAATTCTGAGAAAACTTGGCTCTTTCTCAGAAAATCTAGCTCGTCCTAAAAAAACCTAAATCATTCTCAGAAAACCTGATTTGACCTTCCAATCCAAATTCCTTAAAGAAACTAAGCAAAACTGACTCATCCTCAGAAAACCTGACTCATCTTTATGAATCCTGAAAACTTTACTGAAACCTGAGACATCATCCAAATTCCTGAAAAATCCTCAGAAATTCTGACTCATCCTAAGCAAACTTGAGACTTTCTCAGGAAACTTGATATATCCTCAAAAAACTAAGACGACATCAAAATTCCTGAAAGATCCTAAGAAAGACTGATTCATCCTCAGAAAACCTGACTCACCCTTAAGAAATCTAAAACAAGAAAGACTGATTCATCCTCAGAAAACCTGACTCACCCTTAAGAAATCTAAAACTTAATACATCCTCAAAAAACTTGAGACATAATCAAAATTCCAGAGCAATCCTTAGAAATCCTGACTCATCTCCAGAAAATCTGAGACTTTCAGAAATCTTAATATTCTAAAAAACCTGAGACATCATCAAAATTCCTGAGAAATCCTCAGAAATTCTGACTCATCATGAGAAAACCTGACTCATCCTCAGAAATCCTGACTCGTCCTTAGAAAACCTAAAACTTTCTCAAGAAACTAAATACATCCTCAAAAAACCTGAAACATCATCAAAATCTTCGAGAGATCACCAGAAAATCTGAGACATCCTCAAAAAAACTTGAGACGTTTTCAAAAATACTGATACATCCTCAAAAAAAATGAGACATCCTAAAAAACCCTGAGACATCTTCCACAAACTTGAGACAACTAAAAATCTGAGACATCACTAAATTTCTGACAAACTCCCAAAAAAGCTGTAAAAATCAAGGACATTCATATAAATCTACAAAAACCTACCAATGTATATTTTCACACAAAAAAAAAACACAGAAACCCTGTAAAATTCCCAAAATTACATTACGACATAACCTAACTCATGCCACTCTAAAATAACAGAGAACTTACCCGTCAATCAAATTTTTTTCAGGACTATCTTCGTGACAGGTCATTCACTACTAAAATTAACCAAAACAGGTTCGATAAAAAAAATCTTCCGCTAGTTAATTAATTCGCAACAACCGTTATATTATTATATAACATAAAATAAATCTCTGAACTAAATTAATTTTACGATCACGATTCATAAAATTTATGATAATTTATTCAAATTTCAATTTGATAAAGCAAAGTCCGTGAAAAAATATTTAAGAAGAACAATGTTAACGTTCAAAGAATTCAAGGAAAAATACAAATAGTTGACATTACTCAACCTTTTGGCATTAGGAGGTTGAAACGACAATGGCCCTTAGACTTAGTCTTAGATTAGGTCTAATATAATATCATATTAATTGTAAAACTGAGAAGTTCTCATTGGAGTTCTTCTTAGGGATCACTCATAAATATTGTCACTTTAGCTCATAGGAATCTTTATGTATTTCTGATTGCTAAATAAAACTGAGTTAAAAAAAGAAGAACAATCTTTTATAATTTTACCTATAAATTGTGTCTTCCTGCTATCCACCGACCTAAGGACTTTTCCAGCTTCTCCGTCCTAACATAGACATCATCATCGGCTCTCAAAAACCACTCGAATCTGTCCAGATAATGTTCGTACATATAAGTCAACATTTCGAAAGACTTTTTCTGCGGAGGATAAGTGTCGTCGACCTCCTGAAGACTGACCAAAGGTATCCTTTGGTCTACTGTTGAAGGCAACTCTGATCCTTCGGAGCTGAAAAATGCTAGACGTCCTGGAACACGAGAACCCCAGGTTTCCCAAACTGCCGGAGCACGATCCCCTAAAAAATAAATAATAATTACTGTTTTTCTAATTACTATTTACTCAAATATATTAGTGATGTTAAATGTAGAACTGCTTCAAATAAAATGATGATTCTCAATTCCCACAGTTAACACTTTAATTATCCTTTAACAAATATTGAAATATGTTCAATAGAATTGTATATAAAAAATTATACACTGCAATTTATAGTACAAATTTATTTCCATTACCTCAATTTATTTTAATGCCAATATTTTTAGTCATACCTGTAGATATGGATGTATAAATGAATGATTTTTTGTTTATTCACGACTAAAACATTGATTTTCCAAATTTATCACACAAAAAATCATCGTCTGCCTTTGTGATTTATAGCATAAGATACACGTGTTGAAAATTGAAGTCTTTTAAGAGGTATAACAAATTCAGAAAAAATTAATATATAGCATTCGCGGTATAGGTACAATATCACCTTGAATGTTTCTACCCAAAATAATTGCTTCAAAAATGTTGCCTATAATTTTTATAATTTCGTACCATATTTTAACTGGCTTTTGGTAATTTTAATATCTAAATTACATTTTTCCCACTAATGATTCAATATACATTATTACTTAAATTCATATTTGAAGTGAATTAATTTGTCAAATCCTGTTCACATGTGCTCTATTCAACCTACGATCAACAAAAACATTGCAGTAAATGGAGAGGAAAAAATCGTGTGCCCTGCGATTTTTTACTGTGCTCCAATTTGCTTGATATTTTGCAAATAGGCTAATCTCAATCTTAAGTTCAGAAGTGAAAACAATTTGCACTCCTTCACCACCCCTGGCATTAATTGGATTATAACTCTTAATTCTAATTTTATCAAAACTAGTAATATACTATTATAGAGGTAATTAAATGAAAGGTAATGAAATGATTAATTAACTTTCTCTATCAGAAATTTTACCGTAACTTCTTTTATTTTAAAACGGCGAAGGGTCAAAGGGCTCGAAAGGCACTCTGGTTGGACTGCCCCGCACTCTATAAACAATCATAACTCTATCAATATTTGTGTAACAGAAAAATAATAAAAAGCAATAGTTAGTCAGAAAAAGACTAAATTTTAATCTCTATACATATATCCGTATATTTTATTCTTTCAGACATATAATAATGTAAAATTGGTTGTTTTTTTAAAATAAATTTTTTATCATGCAATCGTGAGCTTTTTGGAAATCCTTTGCACTAAAGTTATGGTATTTTCTAGAACCCGTCAAAATCTCTTAAACCAAGTTGATTCCAGAGGGAATACGATTATTTTTAATTTTGGTGGAAATGGCACTCAAAAACTATTTGCTTTAAATGAAAAAAATATTGTATGCGTCTTTTATCTGCATGATAGCTCACTCATTTTACACGCAGAAGTACTCATTTTAAAGCTTATTTTGAGCACTATAAAAACCCATTTGCATATCTAACCTGATATTGTTCCTAGAACACTTTATAAAACATCGATTTATTAAGATTTTAATTGATATAATTTTGTTCATTACATTATTTTAGTTAAAATGTATATTTTTGAAGATATTAGCAAAAAATGCTGAAAAACGCAAAAAAGAAATAAATTTCAGTAGCCAGTAACTTGAAAAGTATTTGCTTTTTTGAAAAACATTATTAAACATTTTTTTCTTCTAATTAGTTCTTTTATCTATACCCAACGTTATTTTGATAAAAGTAAAATTACACCACTGAAAATTTATGTCACCCCCCCCCCGGGAAGTGGCAAATGATTCTAAATTATTTTCACTTTCTAACTTGAGAGCAAGATGAATATAATTCCAAAATTTCATGTAAATTGGAGCACATTAAAAATATTCAGACCCAAAACGCTCCATTGTCTTGAGTAAATATTTCGTATCCAATGCCAAACATATGAATTTTTGACACAATGAAACTTCTAAATAATTTTTTGAATAAGTAAATTACTTTTGTATCGTGATTTAGTAAAGTAAGGCAAAACACGACTACATTTGAAAGTTAAACTAGCTGTAAGTGGAATTCTGTCTTGAGGCAATTATGGCATCGTGCCTTAAGGCAAATTGCTGGAACTTCCCGTACCGTAACAAAATGTTCGAGGACTACTGAATGTTTTCAAATAGATTATTATAAATATTGTAACATTGTCTAATATTTATAAGAATTATATAAACTGAATTGCAGAGTTGAAATTATTTATAAAGTATATTAGAACTAATAGTCAGAATTAAAAATAAAATCTGAAATCTGAAATATTTTCGATATACAAAAAACTAAAAAAAAAAAAAAAAAGTTGGGACAAAATTTTTTTTTCCAAAATCAATTATTTAGTTAAGACAAGCAGAAAGTTCTTTGAATCATTTAAATCGGACGCTTAGTTCTCTCAAAAACTGCCATTTTTTACATATTTAGCTCCGTATCTCCGAAACGGCTGGACCTGCCTTTGCCAAAAACTAATCAACTCTTTTCCCTATCAATAGGAATCGAATGTTTTTTGAACCATTCAAATCGGTTGATCCGTGCGCCCTAAAACGTGACTGGAAATTTGTATCCATACATACATACACACACACATACACACACACACACATCCATTTTTTCTGAGGTATGCCAAAACGTTCAGAAACCTTCAAAACGTCGAGAAATGTAAAAATTTTCAATTCCGATTTTCGGCCCATTACAATAACTTACCCTACGGGAAGTTAAAAATATAATCTGTTCAATTGAATTATAGGCTAAGTTTGATGTGCAATCACTGACAGACGCATGTTGACTGTAAATCTTATATTATTTTAATTTTTGGCACATCTCAGCTGCTTTTCGGCAATAATAATGTAGACATTACATTTTCCTTATTCATATCATAAATATATTATATTTTAATATTGCCTTAGCCTATAAGTGAATGGAAATGTTTGGCAAATGACAGTCTTCATTTGTTTTTGATGTCAAACCATGCCTTAAATATTTTCAAGGGCAAACAACGATAAACGGTTTTTTGTAATTTTTTCTATTTATTTCTAAAATCTAACTATATTTCTATGAATCAAAAAATCCTAGAAAATTTCCCGAATAAACTTCAGGAAGATTTATGAAAATCCGGATAATAGTTTAGGAGAATTAATCATTCATACGTTGTTACAGAAGAATTTTATATATAAGATATATATATATATATATATATATATATATATATATATGTAATATTTTTATATAATAATATAATTTTATATAATAATGTAATATTTTTGTAGCCCAACCGTCGAATTAAAAAAACATTAAATAACAAAATTATTTATTCTATCAAACGTTCCGACACTTGATGTGTGTCATCATTCAATAATCTAAAAAACATATAACATAAATACACAGTTGATGATAAATATAAATATATAAATGAAGAAAATTATACATACCAAACCAGGAAAAACAACAGAAAAAATTAATTATGAAGTAAAATTGATTGAACACTAAATTTGTGTAAAATAATAAAATACTATTATATTAACAAACGAGAAATAGAAGGAGCACATATTGCCCTCCTATATATTTAATGTTATTGATAGCATTGCATTGTGGACACTGATCAAGGTTACAAAGCAAGTGTAGTGAAGGAGTGGGAGCGGGTTGCGAGAAACGAAAGGGGAAAGAGAAACAGAGAAGAAATATAACGAACGAAAGATTCTAAAACTGTATTGAATTACTTTTCATGTAATTAATGATGACTTTGTAATTGTCATATAAGAGATGAGAGGAATTACGTTTATTGACACAAGAAGTATTAAGGGATATAAGTAAAGACTGAACTATCTTTCTAAGGTCACAATTTTTTTCAATGTAAAGGATTGAAGGATTTGACATGTTAAAAGTGTGGTTCAGGTTTATTATATGTTCAGAAGGCATCGTTTTGAATTGATTTGGGTTTCTGGAATTATAATTGTTCAATCAATTTTACCCCATAATTAATGTTTCCTGTTTTTCCTGGTTTGGTATGTATAATTTCCTCCTTTTATACATTTATATTTATCATCAACTGTGTACTTATGTTATATGTTTTTTAGGATTACAGAATGATGACACACATCAAGTGTCGAAACGTTTAATGGAATAAATAATTATTATTTTTAGTTATTTAATCTTTTTTTAATTCGACGGTTAGGCTGCCTATATATATAATATATGACATATATTAACCCTTACCCAAATATTCTTTGGTCGTCATAACGCCCACAAAAAGCAGCTCATCCTTCACCGATCCGTTGACTTCCTTCAAACCAATGACTGTCAAAGGATCATTTTGACTAAGTAATCCTCTGGTCGTCCTTCGTTCGTCCAAGGAGTACCAGCAGCTCCTGACGTGTCTCTGAATAGCCAGGCCTAGGATCAGGCCCAGGATCAGGCCGCAGATGAGGTGCAGGCCACGTTTTTTGCGAGCCATCATAACGAAGTTGAATTTTTTTGCTCAGATTTGTTTTGATCAAAGGAATAAGACGGTTGTGGTGTCAGGGACTTCAGCATGGTGAGACCAGGTTTTGTTGACCAGGTTCTTTGGCTAAGTTTGTTTCTAGTCATGGTTGTGGCTGGTGAAGTTTTATAGGGACGTGGAAAAAGTCTGTAAAGATAAAAATTATAATATGTAGTTGTATACATTTTTATTCGAATTTATTAAATACGAATCATTGGACAACATTGAAATCGATTAAAGCATATTGCTTTAATTACTGTTGTCTATTGGAATTTTAATTTATTATTAAGAATCTCAGAAATTACAGAACTTTTAAAATTTACAGGAACTATTCGTTTAATTTTATACAAATTTATTAGAATCTGATAACATTTATCTGCAAGAATTAATTACTATAATCTGAATTTTATTTAATAGAATCTATTAAAATGCAATGGAATCTTTTAGAATCCCATGGTATCTATTACAATCCAATAAGATCTATTAAAATCTAGGAAAACCTACTAAATTGCAAATAAATCTATTAGAATCTGTTGGAATTCATTAGAAACCAATAAAATCTATTAGAATAGAATGGAATCTATTAGAATACAATGCAATCTATTAGAATTCAATAGAATCTATTAATGTCCAATGGAATCTATTAGAACCTACAAAAATATATTGAAATGCAATGAAATTTATTCTAATTTACAAGAAATTATTGAACTACCATGGAATTCATTATAATCTACAGGAATATATTGAAATGCGATGGAATCTATTAGAATCCAAGAAAATCTTTTAGAATTCAATGGAATTCAATAAGATTTATTGATATCAGATTAAATCCGATGGAAACTATTAGAATCTAATGGAATCTATTAGAATCAAAGAAAATCTATTAGAATCTAATGGAATCTATCAATGTCCATTGTAATCTATTAAAATACAATGGAATTTATTAGAATACAATGATATCTGTTAGAATCCAAGAAAATCTATTAGAATGCTAGAAAGTCTATTGGAATCCAATGAAATCTAAATCCAATAGAATATACTAGAATCTAGAATGCAAAAAAATCTATTGGAATCCAAAGTAATCTAATAGAATCTATAAGAATCTGCAGAAATATATTGAAATGCAATGGAATCTATTAGAATATTTTTGAATTTATTAGTATCCAATGGAATCTATTAGAATTTATTAGAATGTACAGAAAGCTATTAGAATCTTTTGGAATCTATTAGTATCCTATAAAATATCTATTAGAATCCAAGAAAATCTATTGGAATCAAATGGAATCTATTAGTATGCAAAAACAATATTAGAATCCAAGAACATTTATTAAAATCCAATGAAATCTATTAGAATTCAAGATGATCTACTAGAATGCAAGAAATTTTATTGGAATACGATGAAATCTATTAGAAATCAAGAAAATTTATAAGAATACAATGGAATCTATTAAAATCTATTAAAAAATGCAAGAATATATTGAAATGCGATGGAATTATTATTAGAATATGATGCAATTCATTAGATTCTACAGAAATCTATTGAAATACGATGGAATCTATTAGAAACTGATAGAATTTATTAAAATTTACAAGAATGTATTAAAATTTGATGGATCTATTAGAATCTAATGGTATTTATTAGAATTTATTGAAATCAGATGAAATTCATTAGAATCTATTGAATTCGGATGAAATTCATTAGAATCTATAAAATTCTGATGAATTCCATTGGAATCTATAGAAATGCATTAAAACTTAAAGGGATTTATTAGAATCTAATAGAATTCATTGGAATTTATCGACATCAGCTGAAATTCATTGGAATCTATTAAAATCTGGTGAAATTCATTATAATCTATTGAATTCAGATGAAATTCATCAGAATCTATGAAACTCTGATTAATTCCATTAGAATATATGAAAATGCATTGAAATCCAAAGGGATTTATTAGAATCTAATGGAATTAATTAGAATTTACTGAAATTAGATGAAATTCATTGGAATCTATTGAAATCCGATAAAATTCTTTAGAATTTATAGAAATCTGATGGAATTCATTAGAATCTAAAAAGGAATGAAATTCAATGGAATCTATTAGAATCTGATGGAATTCATTAGAATCTACAGGGTCTTATGGAACTTACAGGGAATTCATTATACAAGCATTTATTGAAATGTGATCAAACTATTGAAATGATGAAATGAATCATAAGAATCTACCAGAAATATATTGTAATCAGATGGAATTCATTAGAATTCAATGGAACTACACAAATCTACTGAAATCAATTGAAGTGCATGGAATCAATCAAAGTCTACTGGAATCGATCAAGACCTACTAGAATCGATCAAAACCTATTGGAATCAATTAAAATCTACTGGAATGGATCAAAACCTACTGGAATCGATTAAAACCTATTAGAATCAATTAAAACCTAATGGAATCTATCGAAATGCAATGGAATCTATAAAAAATTTACCTGAATTAATTAAGATCTATAAGAATCAAATCTTTTGGATTCCATCACAATGATATCAAAATCTATTGGAATCCATCACAATACGATGGAATCTATCAAAACCGATTAGAATCAATGAAAATGTAATGAAAGCTATTGAAATCAATTAACTCCTATTGGAATCATTCAAAACCGACTGAAATCAATCAAAATGCAATGGAATCAATCAAAACCGACTGGAATCAATCAAAAAGCAATAGAAACAATCAAAACCTATTGGAATCTCTCAAAACTGACTGGAATCTATGACAATGCGACGGAATCTATCAAAATGGACTAGAATCTATCAAACCTACTGGAATCTGTGAAAATCTTCTGGAATATACAGAAATTTCTCAAAATCTACCGTAATTTATTGAAATATGGCTCTGAATGATCGAAATCGAATGGAATGAAAGTTTATGAATTTAAACCTACTGACAACTTATTAAAATTATAAACTTTGTAATAATCCAAATAACCAAAAACATAAATAATTATAAAAATAATATGTATAAAAAAGCAGCAAAACATATATATGAAAATATTCATACACGTTAATACTTTCTATAAATATAATATAAAAATATAGCAATTTTACATTGTTTTTTCACGTTTTGCATTTCTAATCGTCAGTCGGATCAGAATTATCGTGTTACATATGGCAACACCAATACACATAAGAAGTTCAAAGGGGCATAACACATGGCGAGGATTTTGTAAAATTCTTAGAAAAATAATAAAATCAAAACAACACGTGTTTCGTCTGCAAAGGGAACTCACTTCAGAGAAAGATATATGTGAGAGAAAATATCAGGGAGAAAATTATTTATGAGTGAATAGAGTGTTTGCATTTCAAAATATTATGTAAATAGTATTTTTTTATTTAAAATAAATTTGTAAAAATAATCAAACTTTGTATTGAATTCGATTCCATTTTCGTAATTTCTTCAAAATGAATTTATTATCACAAACCTTTAACCAAACCACAACCAAATAATAAACAAAATTTTCATACGGAATCTGTTTCTCTTCACCGATTCCACAAATGAATGCAAACGAAAACAAATCTTTGCATTTTTGCTTTTGTTCCGAAAATGTTTAGCAATACATTTTTTATTTTTTATTTCAACAAAAAATTAATCTTTACACTTAAGTACGTTTATTTGATACATTTATATTATCTCTTCTGCTTTTTATCCAAATAACTAAATCCCAATTTTTATTGATTAGGTTAATTACTTACACATATCAGGATGATGTTCAGGCAACTTGCCCAAAAGTTAAATGCCACTTTCACCTAGTTTCATTACTTTAACTTTTCGCTTTAATATTTTAGATTCCCGTAGAATAGTTATAGTAATGGGCCGAAAATCTAAAATAAATTTTTTTGCATTTCTCGACGTTCTGAAGATTTCTGAACATTTTACTGGCATACCTCAGAAAAAATTGATGTGTGTGTGTGTGTTTTGTTTGTCCGCATTTTTTCGTCCACGTTTTCGGGCGCACGGATCAACCGATTTGAAAGGTTTAAAAAACATTCGATTTCCTATTAATAGGAAGAAGTGCTGATTAGTTTTTGGCGAAGGCAGGTCTAACCGTTCCGGAGATATGGGGCAAAGAGTGCAGAAAATACAAATCGAGTTTTTGAGAGAACGGATCATCCGATCTGTATGATCCAAAAAAACATTCAGTTCGTAATGACCGGGAAAAGTGGTTATTAGTTTTTGGCAAAGGTAGGCCCAGCGGTTTCGGAGATACAAAGCTAAATGTTAAAAAGATGGCAGTTTTTGAGAGAATTAAGCGTCCGATTTAAATGATTCAAAGAACTTTCTGCTTGTTTCAACAAAACAATTGCTTTTGGAAAAAAAATTTTTGTTTCTAATTTTTTTTTCAAAAAATATTTTTGTAATTTTGGATTAAAAATTTACAGTCTGAGCGCCACTCTGGTAGAAATGTTTACCCAAGTGCGTTTAGACTGTTTATGTATTGGAGCACTTTTCTAATTTTTGTGAGAAAATATTTAAAAATGTGTAAGTGCCGCCAAGCTAAGCACAGTATAAGTGTCGCACAGAATTATTTGCAAATGCGTTTCGACTGAGACTATAGGAAGCACTTTTTCAATTTAGGCAACTATTTTTTTTTGAAATTGAATTCGAAATGAAATGACGATTGTTAATGTTCTGGAGATAAATTGATTTATGATTTACATTTGTTAATTAAAGTTACAGCATTTGTATAATATTATATTTGAAAACGTTTAAAATTTCTTGAATGTTTTATTACGGTACGGGAAGTTCCAGCAATCGTTGCCTTAAGGCACGATGCCATACACTACTAGTTTATTTTTATTTTAAATACTAATTGATGATTTCACTCAAGTACTTTTAATCCAACAGTTGGCCTTTCTCTGCTTGACATCAGACTGGAACTTCTGATTGGATATCCATAGCTCTAACCACTAAACCACGATAAAACACAATCATATAACTACAATGACAAATATTTTGTAGAATTAACTGTCCGAATCCGACGTCCTCGGTTTTTTATCGTGACAACGCAAGTATTTATTTATTATTTAGGTAACGGTTTGGTTTAACTTCTTCTCCTCGGAGTGTTAATACGTTAAGAACACTTTTGGACACGAATCGATTGCCAAAGAATCAATCACGCAAACATACAATCACAACAACTGTTATAATTTATAAATCTTAGTAATAAAAATATTCATTTTCGTTGTTCGAAGTCGATGAATGGATTGATGGTTCAGCTATTTTGATCTATTTCTTATACTTGAGAGTATCTTTATTTTACCAATGTTATTACACAGAGTCCTAGATTTCAAATCATATTTTTTATTTAGTTTAATAAAGTTTTAGTTGAATTTGACAAAGAAAAAATATGAATTATTTGATTAAAAGTTTTCCAACTATTAATTCAAAATACACATATCGGACGTCGATGGCCTTCGATGATTTGTTTTCATGTTAAAAATATATCTTATGCAAAATTTTGGCACATGATCCACTCGAACACTACAATTGTCTTCGCTTTTTGGATGCATTCGAAATTAGGTAATAAAATTTTAGCAGATTAGTAGATCTAATCTAGGATAAGATTATAAGCTCCCTTATTTATAATATTTATCTAACTAACAAAAACAAGGTAAAAGTAAATGAATCTGTTAGGCTTCTACGTCCTTGGTATAAGATAATAGAGTAATCTTATCCAAAAACAGACCTGTTGACTTAAGTATAAATTCAAAAATAGGTTTATCGAATTTAAATATTAAAATAAATTTCCGTAAAAAATGCATAACAAAATATATAAATAGAAAATTAAAGTGATAAAAAGGTGTAAGTGGCATTTATCCTTTGGGCAAGTTTAAATAATCATCTTTAAGAATTACAACGGCCGTGTTCCTGTTTTTTCGAATAATTTTTGAATTTTCAAAATCGGTTCAGAATTTTCACTTGGAGTCATTGTTATTGAGAAAACGTTAAGGTCAAAGGTCACAAATAAAAAATTGCCACCACGTGCAAATTTTTCCAAATGTGGTCTCAAGCGATTAAAAATGACTTGAAACGTCGAAAAACTTAGCTAGAATTAATTTAATAGAATGTACAAGTAATGAAATTTAAACAAGCAGTTATAATAATAATAAAAATTATATATACAATTTTTATAATACGCCAAAGAAAATAATACAAATATAAATAAAAATGAAAATTGTTTCAATCTTTTTTTTGAACTTCCCGTAAAGTAATTTATAACAATCGCAAGAAAATCAAGAATAAAATTTTTTGCATATCTTCACTTTTCAAAGGTTTCTGAACAGTTTGGCATGCCTCAGAAAAAATTAATGTACGTGTGTGTGTGCGGATTCAAAATTTCATCGACGATTTCGGGAACACCGATCAACCGATTTGAATTATTCAAAAACCATTCGATTCGTATTGATGGGGAGACGAGCTGATTAGTTTTTGGCAAAGGCAGCTCCAGCCGTTACGGAGATTCGGGGCAAGAAGTGCCAAAAATGATAATTCAGTTTTTGAAAGAACGAAGTGTCCGATTTGAATGATTCAAAAAACATTTTAATTGTATTTATAAAATGCAGAACTGATTAAATATTTGGGAAAGCAGGTCTAACGATTTCGGAGATCCAATAAAAATGAACATTAGACATATGTACATACAAACCAACAAATATTTTATATAGATTTCAATAATAAGTACAAATTTTGTTATACTTCTTATTTCATTTCGAAAAAATCTACGCAGCCCCGTTTGAAAAAAAAATATAAATTTTCTAAAAATATAAAATACAGAAAAAAAACTTTTCAAAAAAGTTCATTTTCTTCAAAATTCTCAAAATTCTATTTTTTTCAAAGTTTTCAAAAAAACAAAGCTTTTGAAAATTTTAAATAAGTGTACGGGAAGTTCACCAGAAGTATAGTTACTTCTACTTTTTTGTTTCTCAAATCCGATTTTTTAAATTTCTATTAAAAAAAGTTATAATCCGATTCTTCAAGTTTTTTATCATTCTGTATTCTGTACTCAAAAAAAAATATTTTTTGACACAAAGAAAAACCTATTATGGGACGTATCTAGTTCGTTATTAAACATCTACAAAAGACTTATTGTTTTTTATTTTGAATCAATTGTGCGGAAAAGAAACATAAATCAATTTATTAAAAAATCCAGGACTCAACTATATTCACCTATCACACAAATAAATTATTTTAAAAATCTCTAAAAGCGGTTAAACAAATTTTCTAACCTGCAACAACAAGATTCAAATCATCTACTTTTACGGCGTATAGATTCGCCATTATTTGTGCAATTATTTAATTTCCTTCAGTCTCGGCTCGTCAAAACAGGTTTATTAAATAACAACACAAAACTATTCCATAATAATCTGTTGCAGGTATCAAAACAAAAAAAAAACAGAGTCTTTCTTACCTCTTCTTCTAACATGGCAAGAAACGAGTCCTTGGAGAGATGGATAATGCAATTATACTATTATGTACACTATACACAAACACTGAATACACTTGTTATTATTAAAATGTAAAATGGATAATAGAATTTAGTTTTGCACAATTAGAATACGTTTTGGTGTTTAAATTTGTGTAAATTGAACGAGAGTGACGTGAATTCGATGTTTACCGTTTGCCGGCGCCGCGTGCACTGAAGTTAATTCATGTTCGGTGTCTTGTTCAACACGGAAATTAGTGTTGCCATCTCACAAGAAAGAATGGCGTGAAGTAAGGTATTAATCAGGCGCGTTTTTCAAATTCAAATTTAACATTTGTAGTTGAAAGTGTTTCGTTTGATATTACTAGTTTTTTTATTGTAAAATCAGATAATTTGCACATAAAATAAAGATAATATGTGAAAAAAACGAACTAGTGGTGTATGGCATCGTGCCTTAAGGCAAATTGCTGGAACTTTCCGTACCGTAATGAAATATTCGATAAATATTAAATATTTTCAAATAGATATATTATAAATACTGTAACTGAGAGGGGACAATTCTGCCTCATAAAATAGCGTTGTCATAGCAACAGGACTTGTTTGCTATGACAACGTGTGTCTCTAAAACGGCTGAACCGGCCCTTTCGAAAAACTATTCAGCATAAGTAGGAATCGAATGCTTTTTGAAAAACATTTTGAAAGAAACACATTCTTTATTAATTATACATTTCGTCACTTGATGTGTATCAAGATAAAAACACTAATAAACTTAAAGCAGTATTAATAGTTATAAAAAAAATGCTTTTTGAAATTTAATAGGATAAGAATAACTTTTAACTAATAATTTAAATCAAATACTAAAAGAGCGAACATAATGCCTTATAGACAAAATGATGTTTTTTAGTTAGCAATCGAAACTAAAATCTTTTATTAGTGTTTTTGTCCTGGTTTGATTTGTTGAATGATGACACACATGAAGCGTCAAAACGTATAATAAAGAATGTTTTTCATTTTTTCACATTTTTTTAATTGGATGAATGGGCTGCTAATTATTTAAAATGTGTTTTATATATAAAGTTCTTTTATATATAAATTTACTTACATCTGTTATGATGTATGTAAATAAACTAATTCTAAACGATTATTTAGTTTTTGATAAATCATTTTGAAGTTCGTTAAGTAAATTTGTCAACGTAATTTTTAGGATGTATGTGATGTGAAAAAAAAAGGAAAAATTGCAAATAACGAAATGTCATTGTTTAAAATTTAAAATGTTTGAGATATTCTTTGCCATTGAAAACTGGGGACCCCTGGTAATAATGTATATTAAATTATTACTAAGAAAAATGTAATTCAGATATTATAATTACTGAGAACCAGTTAAAATATGATACGAGGTTATAAAAATTACTGGCTAAAAGACTTCCATTTCGATATAATGTGAAAATCAAAACTTTTCATATTATTTAAAACAGTTCTACATTTAACATCGCTCATATTGATGAACATATATGCATTTTGGTGTGAACAGTAATTTAATATATATATATATATATATATATATATATATATATTTAAGTACACAATAAAAAAAAATATATAGATGTGGGTACAGAACAAGGTCTGTCGAGTCATCTAGTATATATATATATATATAAATATTGAGATTCCACTATCTTTAGATTTAGAATAAAAAAAACGCTTACACTAAAAATCAATAAATGCCATATTGAATTAATATACCAAATGCATACAAACTTTCGGTTTTAAATTTGTGTTAATTTATTTTACTTCATGTTCTAAAAATATATCTATCAAGTTAATAATGAAAGCCTATCAAACATATCTCGAATACTAAGTCTTTTAAAAGGTTGTCTAAAGATTTTAAATTTCCAGGCTAGAGTTAATTTATTTTAGGAGCACGGGGTAATATAAACTACAATTTATAAGAAATACAAGAATACAGCTTATATATTATATAATATACATTTATACAAAAGCCTATATACTTATTGAAATTAAACCTCTCTTAGCTTAGTTATAAACTTAAAAGTACATACTTAACATTAACATATCTATGCCTATAAACACATGTATAATATAATGTCCATGTTATCTAACCGAGCCCTACTAATACTGATCATAAAAGAGATACAAAAGTTTTAACCCTATACTAACAGCTAATAATAGTACAAAGTTTTCATTCCAAAACTCTAAGGAAACACAACAAAACATATTCCATTCTACATCGACAGACTACACACTCATAAACGTTTTTCTCAGATTTTATATTAAACAAAAAGTTACGTACAAACAAAAAATATAAACAAGTTATTAACAGTTGTAAAAAAAGTGCGCGCGCGGTTGCCTCGACCATCGTTGGCAAATTGGAATTTGCTCTAGGCCAAAAAATATTTCCATCAAAAATATATACATATATAAAGATATGACATATTAAACATAAAAAAAACATGTGGGAATTTAAATTTTGTTCAAAGTTGGATCATCGATGAGGAGGTTGTGTGTGTGTGTTTTTAGCGGCGATAAGGATGGTAGCTGCCTCCTGCTTCCCTGCTGCGCTCACGTTTTATACTGGTGCTCCTTTGACCGTCACCACCTCCTGAAAATTGAAGAAAATTAAATCAAAAATCGGAAAAAAGAAATTATTAATAGGTGGTCTTTGTATGTGTATCTAGCTCACCCGCTAGCTAGATTGTTTGAATCAATGGTAAAAAAAGCATTGGTTCAAACCACCGTAATCAGCGCCATATGTTACGAACAAAATTGTAATAGCTGTACTAATTATTAATATTAATTAAAATGCAGGTTAATTCACGGATATTAATCCTGTCATAATAAACGTTAATTATCTAATTATCTAATTACTTCATACAGCAGTGTCACTCCTGCGGAAAACACTCGCGTAGCAAAAGGGTTAAGGATAATTGTAGGATGATTTGTTAGAGGAATTAAATAGGACTTCACAATGCTTATAATCCAATAAGTTTGCTGCTTCGTTATCTTACAGTAAGATAAGAGATCGAGAGCAAACATGGCAAATGTCCACAGATGTCATTAAAGCCAATGGCTATAGAATTATGAGCTTTTTGAGAAATTTAACGGATGAGCATTGGTACAGAACCCATAAAAATATAAACAAAATTTGTTATTATTAAAATCTCTATAACAAATGTGATAATCTGATGCACCTATATCTAATGATGATTTTTGACCGCCAAATGCCTTTTTTTTCTTTTTTACCAGATCTCCAAAACCGCTAGATCTGCCTTCTCAAAATTTTTATCAGTTCTAAATTTTTTCAATACAAATAAAATGTTTTCAGAATTATTCATATCCGACGTTCCGTTCTCTCAAAAACTGAGTTACAGTTTATGGCACTTTTTGTCCTGTATCTCTGAAACGGCTAGGCCTACCTTAGCCAAAAACTAATCAGCACATCTCCCTATCAATAGGAATAGAATGCTTGTTGAATCATTCAAACCAGTTGACCAGTGCGTCCAAAATCGTAGACGAAAAATTGTATCCGCACACACACACATTCGGTTTTTCTAAACTATGCCAAAATGTTCAAAAACCTCTGGAACGTAAATATATGCAAAAATTTACTTTTTCGATTTTTAGACTATGGGAAGTTAACAAAAAGTTACTATTTATCCTACATAATCCAAAGAAGTTTGATTAAAACACGTCATTGGATCAGGTAACGAAACTTACCTGGTACAAGAACTAAAAACTACTTTGCCTAGAAACCAAACATTTCTAATCTTAAAAAAATGAAGACTACTCGTACTTTTCTACGTCTATCAAAAATGAACCAAAACAAAAAACGAAAAGCTAACTCTAAATCCGCCAATAGTCCAGAAGAGCTAGACATTAATTTATAGTACAAGGAACGTCCTTTAATCACGTGATTAGATTTTTGAACCCCCCTCTTGCTTGGTGATACGTAGTGATATTCAAAATTACCCCAATCCCTTTTTTGAACCACCTCGAAAATCACATGTATTATAAGTTAAAGAGAAAAAATTGTAATATTTGTATTTTTTTCTGAAAATGTTTCAATTTTTTAAAAAAATTAGTTACTTAGTAAACCCCTCCCTCTCCCACGTGATATTTCGTGATTTCTTGTCAAACCCTCCCTTCACCTAAAAACCTTAAGCGATTAATGGACGCCCCCACAGAAGTTTTTAAAAAAAGTTCATCTGAAAAATACCAAAACTTTGATCTAAATGAAATAAAAAGCTAACTCGCCTTTGAGCCTACCAATGATAATTCTCTGATATAAACGCTCCAAAAACAACTTTATTTGAAAAACTAATCCGAATGCTACAGTCATCTGTCTAATCTAAACTAAAAAACTAAGACTATCCAAGCAAATAGTATGTCTGTAGCTATTAGCGTATATTTTGAAAATGTCAGCCTAAAAACAAACTATTTACAAAAAAAAAACAAATACATATAACAGAATTGAAAAAAAAAAAATAGAAATGCTTACTGTACATCTGTCAAACAAACTAAAAAAGGAAATTTTCACTCTAAATCCACATGACCTAAAGGAACTAGATATAAATTCTAAAAATTACTTCATCTAAATTAAACTTTGATCTAAAAAAAAAAACAAAATTCTCTCTTATCTAAATTAGATGGCATTAAACAAGAGCCTATGAGTCTACCAATGACAATTTTCTGGTACAAGAACTCCAGAAACTACATTTAAAAAACCAAACTGAATGCTACCAAGCATGTACCTGATTTAAACTAAAAGAACGAGAAAAAACTAGAATTTTGACAAAAACAATCCACAGATATATGTTAAAAATTATCACACTAAAAAACCGACCAAAATATCTAACAAATACTTGGGCGTCTTGCTGACTTGTACAGCAGCGTAAAAACCACCAAACATATCCAAGTTGAAAAAATAAAACAAACAAAAATAATACTCGTACATCTATACATTTACCAAACAAAAATTAACTAGTGGTGCATGGCATCGTGTCTTAAGGCGAATTATTGGAACTTCCCTTACTGTAATAAAATATTCGAAAAATAACAGACAAGACACACAAATAACAGACAAGAGACCAGTGTGGGATACATAAAGGTATTTCCTTTGCTATTCAAAAAAAAAAAAACACACACAATGTTCATAAACTACTAAAACGTGCAGATATGCAAAAAAAATCGTTTTCAATTTTTGGACTATTACTATAACTTACCCTAAAGGAAGATAAAAAAAAATGAAATGCTAACTCTAAATCTACATGATACAGAAGGAGCTAGATATTGATTCTTTAAAAAGTTCATCCAAAATTCCTAATCAAAAAGTTGATCTAAGTCATGGGTTCTCAAACTTATTTGTGTCGCAAATTTCTTAGACTTTGCCATGGACCCCCCTCTATTTAGCCGATATTGATCTTTTATAAATTTGTATTTGTACTACCATTCAGTATTAAACATTTAAAATAAGGATACTAATCCAAGTTAAGATATTTATTAATAATAATAAATTAGATATAAACAAGTCGCGTGTGATCCACTATCGTGAATCTCTATAATTCCTTTTTATTGACGTGGACCCCTTGAAAGTTGTCATGGAACCCTGTCTTTGAGTCTATTAACAAAAATTTCCTGGCACAATAGCTCCAAAAACTATTACATCTAAAAAAACAAAAAGCAGAATGCTACCAAGCAGAATGCTACCTAACCTAAACTAATGTAGGAAACAAAAAACTCACTCACTAGTAATAATCTAGTTTATTGCCGTCGTCCAAAAAAAACGTACCAAATCTATGGGTGGTATGATGATGAATGATCAATTATCATTTACCCGTGGACAGCGAAGCGTCCTTGTACGGGCTACCGGCGCCGCTGCCGCCGCTCCCGACCGTCGTGTAACCGCAAGAGGTGAGCACCGGCGTCTGCTGCTGCTGCTGCGACATCAGCCTCGGCGAAGAATTGGGCGACGTCGACGACACCGACGAGCTCGTCGTGCAGGTGTACAGGGTGCGCGGAATCGGCGAACGGCGGGTCGAAGTCGGATTACCGCCGGATAGTTGCTGCTCATCCTGCTGTTGCTGGTGGTGGTGGTGCTGATGGTGGTGGTGTTGGTGTTGGAGTGTCGGTTGGTACGGGGAGTACATGGCTGAAATGAGAAAGGAGTCGGATGGGATGGAAGGATTGAGGATTATTTGAATGATGGATGATAAATGGTTATTGTGTTGTCATAAAGGAATACTGTTGTGTTCGTGTTTGCATGTGTCGGTTAACCAGTCAACTGTATATTACGCATATTGCCGATTATAAATAGCCAATTTATTATTTTGCTTTGTCTCCCTCTCCGAACGTGAATTATCAAGTTGGTTAATAGTAATAAGTTATTATCAAATTTGGCAGTTTGGCTAATATAAAATTTCGTAAACGAGCTGAAAGTTTAAGAAAAATATGTTCTTCAAATCTCGAGCATTCTTAAGACGTCATATTTGTGCATCTCCAAACTTATAGAAATTTTTTGAAATTATGAACTTTTTTCAAAGCAATCGCGCTGCGAAAAATTTTAAAAATATTTCAAAATATAAATAAAAACTCAAAATATTCAAAATTTTAATTATAGTTTTTGGTACGGGAATAATATATAAAAACAATTTAAGTAAAATTTTCGGGATAGGGCAGCATTTTTGTCAGTGCCCCAGTACGCCAAATTTCTAAATCCGGCCCTGATGAGCATTCGGAGTATTTCACTCCGAATGCTCATCGGAGTGATTCGGAGTATTTGGTTTCAGTCAATTTAATAAGGGTTATTGCTCACTAGAGCTATGTTTTTAAAATAATTTTGTATTGGTTCACTCATTTTGTAAAGATATTGGAATAAAAATATGCACTTATGACCAAAATTGGGTTCAAAAGGAAAAGGTACTCTTGGATTTTCATTGACAATTAGTAATGAAGCTGAACGTCATGTTTCCATGACGAGTATAATCGTCAAATTCGTATTGAAGAAGGAGTTAATGCGTCGAGATTTGTCATTTTGGTCATTTTTGGAGGAAATGCGAAGGGGTAAAGAAAATTCATGGGAACATAGGGGTTTATTAAGGCAGAACTCGTAATTCATTAAAAGATATGAAGTCCATTCATCGAAGACATTAACTTAACTTATGGAGAATATAGAGTTGATCAAGAATATGGAGTATAATATAGAGTTAATAGATGAAGAATATAGAGATAATCAATAGAGAGTATGGATTTGATCAATGAAGGATGCAGAAATTAAAAACAGAGTATGGAGATCAAAATTCATGAAAAACAGAGATCATTCATGGAGGACATGGAATTCATTCGTAGAGAACATGAAGTTCATTCATGAAGGATATAAAATTCGTTTATGGGGCGCGTGAAATTCATTCATGGAGGGCAGACAAGGAATTCATTCATGCATGACATGGAGTTCATAAATGAAGGGCGTAGATTTCATTCATGAAGTACATGGAATTCATTCATAGAGGACATGGAATTCATAAAGGACATGAAGTTCATCCATCGAGGACGTGGAGTTTATTCATGGAGGACATGGAATTCATTCATGGAGAATGTCGAGTTCAT